CCTGGGCGGGGTGTCCCTGCAGGCGGGGCCCCGGCCTCGCGTCCCGCCAGTCGCCGCACACATCCCCGACTGGCCGGGCCGGGTGGGGGCGGGGGGCGCCCGACGCGCAGGAAGGGCTCCCACCAGACGCTCGCTCCGGGAACCAGGAAGCAGGAACTCCCGGCTCGGGTCCCGGTCCCGCCACCAGTGTCCCCGCGCTCGCCCCGGGTTCTCTCCTGCCCCCTGGGGATCTGCACGGCGGTCACGGGAGAGTGAACCCCGTGGGAGAAAGCACGCTCGGAGTGCGGTCCGCGTGGCACGGCGTGGGACACCTCTGGGGCTCGGCCCTCCGCGAGCATTGACCTGGTGTGTGGTCTGTGTCCCCCGAGAGCTCAGCACCCACCCTCAAACAGCTCGCGACCTGTCTGGGGACGCTCGGCCCTGGACTCCAGAAGCGCTAAGGTACTAGCGGCAGCCTGCGTTTTAACGACCGAGCCTAAGGCACTGGGCCTCCTGCTGCGGAGGGGTGCTGGGAACGCCGGCCCCGTGGGGGTGCTCGGAGCCAGCTAGCTCACGGCGGTGTGCCGACACACTGCGCCCGCTCCTGGGCGCGAGGCTGCGACCGCGCTTCGGGCTTTCCCCGCCCTCAGACCCACCCTTTCGACGAGGTGGTCACTCCGCTGTGCAGGTCTTGTCCTCCCAGCAAGCAGGAACGTCCCTGGGCACAGAGCAGTGTCTGGTTATGTCCTCTTTGACTGAGCACCATCAGGCCCAGGACAGAGAAGTGCAGGGTAAATGCTGAGGAAAACGGGTAAAAAGCAATGCTCCAATGGAAGATACATTTTTAAAATTATTTCTTTATTTAATTTTATTTGTTACTATTATTATTATTTCTTTTTTTGGAAGAGGTGTTTCTATAGGGCGCATGCGCTCGTCAGACAGACAGAGACAGAGAGACAGAAAGCGAGAAATCACCCCCCAGGGGGGATGGCCACGCCGCAATCCCTTCTCCTCCATTCTCCTCTTGGGATCTTGGGCATGCACGCACACGCGTGAGTTTTAAGCCACCAGGTCCGGGACGCGAACCATAGTTGACTACGTGGGAGTCCAGCCACTTAGCCATTACGCTAACTGCTGGTTCCCTTATTTATTATTATTTCTTAATTTGACCAAAGAGACAGAGAGAGAGAAGGGGAAAGTGAAAAAGCAAGCCTCCAGGTCCGAGACTCAAACCTTGGTTGACCATGTGGGAATCCAGCACCTTAACCACTACGCCACTTGCTTGACCCTCCCCCCCCTTTTTTTTTTGGACAGGCTTTTGCTATAGGACGTGTGCACTCACCAGAGGGACAGAAAGCCAGAAATTACCTCCCAGGGGGGATGGCTATGCCGCAATCCCTTCTCCATTCTCCTCTTGGGATCTTGGGCACACACACACACACACACACACACACACACACACGCCCAGCACAAAGCCTCCCGGTCTGGGACTCAAACTGCGGTCAACTACGTGGGAGTCCAGCCACATAGCCATTACGCCAACTGCTTGTCCCCATTTTTTAAAAAAAATTTTAAAAAGAGATGTTTGCTATAGGGCATGTGCCCTCGCCAGAGAGATAGAGAGACAGACATCAAGAAATAACCCCAGGGGCCGGCAGGTGGCTGGTGGTTGGAGGCACTGGACTCCCACAAATCGCCGATCGCAGTTTGAGTCCCAGACCCGACAGCTTGCTTCCTCTCTCTTTCTCTCTCTCACTCTGTCCCTCTGTGGTCAAATTAAAATAAATAAATAAATAAAGTTAAATAAAAAAAATTATAAATTAACAAAGAAAAAGAAAAATCATCCCAGAGGGAGGTGCTACCCCACAATCTTGGGATTTGGGGCACACATGCACACATGCCTGGCATGAGTTTTAAGTGTGGGTCTAGTACTCCAACCATGTTTGGCTATGTGGGAGTCCAGCAACATAACCATTAAGCTATCTGCTGATCCCCCACCTCCCAGTGGAAGATATTTTAAAAATAAGGGGACGGGGAACCAGCAGTTAGCATAATGGCTATGTCGCTGGACTCCCACGTAGTCGACCGCGGTTCGCGTCCCGGACCCAGTGGCTTAAAACTCACGCCGGGCGCATATGCGTGTGTGCCCAAGATCTCGAGAGGAGAAGGGATTGTGGCGTGACCATCCCCCCTGGGGGGTGATTTCTCGCTTTCTGTCTCTCTGTCTCTCTCTGTCTGTCTGGCAAGCACACGTGCCCTCTCCAAAAAAAATAAAAATAAGGGGACGGCAGGTGGTATGGTGGTTAAGGGTACTGGATGCCCACATGGCCGACCACGGTTCAAGTCCCACACCTGGCAACTTGCTTTCTCATTTTCCCTCTCTCTCTCTCTTGCTCTTGCACTGTCTCTCTCTGGTCAAATTAAAATAAGTAAATAAATGAGTAAATAAGATTAAATAAAATAATTCTTGGAAAAAAATTTTTTAAATCAAAAATAAAAGGGAGGGAACCAGCAGTTAGCGTAATGGCTATGTCGCTGGACTCCCACGTAGTCGACCGCGGTTCACGTCCCGGACCCGGTGGCTTAAAACTCACGCCGGGCGCGTGTGTGTGCGTGCCCAAGATCCCGAGAGGAGAATGGAGGAGAAGGGATTGCGGCGTGACCATCCCCCCTGGGGGGTGATTTCTCGCTTTCTGTCTCTATGTCTCTCTCTGTCTGTCTGGCGAGCGCACGCGCCCTACAGTGAAAATCTCTCCAAAAAAAAATAATAAATAAAAGGGAGAGGGGCTCTAGACGCCTTAGCTCTTCCCAAGAGAGGTGTTCCAGGAGTGTTCTGAGCAGTGACAGCTTCTCCAATCTCACCAGGGGAGCACTGGGAAGGATGCAGCCCTCATTTGGAAATATAAATTCTTGTGAAATAGTGCGTCAGATCAAGCCCGTCACACGTCAGACACAGGAAGACTGCGGTACAGGGCCACAGCCAGCACCCCGTGCCCCAGGGAGCAGGACAGCCGTAAGCATTTGATTCGCCAGTTTGCTGTGGCTGCTGATTCAGACACGGAGCTAAGTATGGAGCTGAGTCCCTGCACAGTCTGGGTGAGAAGACCCGCTCTGTTGGGGCCGGCAGGTGGCGTGGTGGTTAAGGTGCTGGACTCCTACATGGTCGACCGTGGTTCAAGTCCCGAAATGGTGGCTTGCTTTCTCACTCTCCCTGTCTCTCTCTGTCTCTCACTGGTCAAACTGACGAATAATAATAAATAAATTAAACTAAATAAATAGTTGTTAAAAAGAAAAAGAAGAAGACCCGCTGTGCAGAGCGTGGAGGTATCGAGGAGAAGGAACAGAGGCAGCCAGGGGCAGGGCCCACGTGTGCTCTCGCTCTCCCTCGTGTAGCCTGCAGGAAGGCGAGGTGTCTAGGAAAGGCTGGTAAACCGACATGGCTGAGAATAAGAGCTATACAGAGTGAAATCAAAAAGAGAGAGTGCCCCCCAAAAAAGAGAGCAAGAGAGTGCCAGGGTGAGGGGATCTCAGCAGGGCAGGATTTAGCAACACAAAAACCATTCTGAGGGCCAGCAGGTGGTGTAGAAGTTTAGGTGACTGCACAGCTCAAGCCCAGACTCAGTGGCTTGAAACCCACACTGGGTTGGGGCCAACAGGTGGCGCACTGGTTAAGGGCACTGGATTCCCACGTGGTCGACTGTGGTTCAAGTCCTGGACCTAGCGGCTTGCTTTCTCACTTTCTCTCTCTCCCACTTTCCGTCTCTGGTCAAATTTAAATAAATAAATAAAGTTAAATAAAAATGGTTCTTTGAAATAAAAAGGAAAAATAAAAATGCACTGCATACATGCATGTGTGTGCCCAAAATCTCCAAAGGAGAACGGAGAAGAGATTGCCGTGTGGCCCTCCGTGCTGGGGATGCTTTCTCACATTCCCTCCCCCCTTCTCTT